CCATCTTTGGAAGTTTAGCATCATGCATATACTCTTTCGGTAAAACGGGGCATGCTCTGTCTCGCGAGAAAAAAAAAACACGCGTGTCTGGTGCGTTAGATTTGGCTTCAGCCAAACATGGGAGATTTTATCCGAAGGTGTAGCGTTCAGGTGTTCCTAAATGGCAAACTTACATTTCTGGCACACAAACGCTTTCCTTTCCAAGCAAATTCCGTCCGACCAAGTTCCATTTCTTGACATAAATACACACTGTTCATCTGTACCCTTGTTATCAGGCTGACCACTCTCCCAGGCTGTAAAATTTGCAGGCTGAGAATTTGTCCAAAAGAACCTCTTGTTATGACATCGTCTAAATCTTAGCCAAGCTTTCGATGACGTAAGATTACTAATGAGCTTATTCTCTCTTTCGTTCAACACATCAACCAATGAACTGTCAATGAAATATTCGCAAAAATGTTGTCCTTTGTCATAAGGCATGGAATATTTGGTGTTTAAATAGCAGTAGCCGTTTTGTTGTAGCCAATTTCTTGGACAACCTGTTAATCAAAATAAATCCATTAGAGATAGGCAGTTCCTCTGATCATTGAGGGACCTGCTTACGGTATAAACTTTTGTACAGTATAAACGCGACAAACATACGATCATTTTTTTTCATATACACGTTACAGTACAAGATACATGCACGCTGTGTGCTATGATCCCCATATATATCTGGAGCGACAACTCGGGTCCAAAAAGTGTAACGAAAGAAGGTGGAAATTCAAGAACTATTGGGCGTCAACTCAGTCACTTTTTAATGTCTTTTTGCGCGGGATGGACACAAAGCTGCCATGGGTGTGGATTTATTCCTATTTTATCAGGATTTAAAGACTATTGCCAGAAATATATGCAAGCAGAAACCCCTCGCCTGTATTTTCCAAACATTGAATTAACATTTAACAATTATTTGCCGAAGGCGAGGTGATGATCGGGGAATATTACTTATTATACTCGGGGATTATCGAGGAATATTCCCCAATAATCCCCAAGCCTGAGGCGAATAATTGTTTCAGTATTTTTACGAAAGTCATTTGTGTTTTTTGGGACTAAATTTATTTTAATTTCGCTCATTTCTTCATCAGTAACTTCCACAAAACTTCATTTTGAAACTTTCGGTTTTGTTATGTTCACCTGTATATAAATTATAACAGATTAATACGTCAATTTGACCAATCAACTTGTAGGGTTTGCTATATTCACTTGTGCATGAATAATACTAATATACTATATTTTCCAAACAATGAATTAACGCAGTCTTGTGTTCAAGTGTTGCCATGAAAACGTTATTTTTCAATTTTCAATTTTTTTAAAACTTTTTTTTCTACACTGCAAAATAGTTGAATGATTAGGACTTTTAGATATACAAAAATGAATTTCCGAAACATATACTGTAGGTATGTTATTTTAACGCGTTCCAAAGAAATTTGAACAATTCCAAACTTCGAATTTTGACTAAAATTTGCAATATTTTGCTGAAATGGCAAACATCTGAAATTATAGCGAAATACAAGCCGAGTCTTTATGAATACCACATAAACTGTCTGCCGCTTGATAGCCGGTATTTTACTTAGTTTGAGGCAATAGTTTTCAAAGCTTTGACTTGTCTACAGCTTTGGATTATGGAAAACGTATACTAGCTTCATCAGTTTCGGCTCAGTATATAGCGAATGACAAGACGATATAAACACTGAATTGTAGAACATTCGTTTGGCGGTATGGTAAATAAACGTAAATATAATGCCGCGCTACATGTTATCCGCAAAAACGTTTTTATTTTGCAGTAATAATTAACCCATGCTGGTCACTACGAAAAGTATAGGAAGTGCACATAATTTGCTTGGATAAAAGTACATTTACACATTTTCATTAGAGGCATAATCAGGCATTAGTGTTGTCTGATACTGTAGTTGAGATTTTATAGTTCTCAACACTAGACAAATAGACAATCATTGTCAGACCATAGCCTGCAAAAGCACGCAACGTAATTAGGCTGCCTAATAGTATGCTTATAATCGCCACGAAAGTTCGGTTACACAGACCATGCTTGTATCCCTACGCGTCGACAATCCAAAAGACAAGACTGTGATATGTAGCTATATAATAGCTATCTTAGATCATGCATGCACAGCATGAATGTACGTATACCGGAGTCGAATATACTCACAATACTTGAACTTCTGCGCTAGTCTACGGTAAAAACTGCGCGCAATGACCATGTAGCTATAATAAACTAGAAAGATATGAATAACGTACATATCGACGCGTTGAAAATAGACTTATGCCAGAGATAATTTACTATAGTTATTAACTATAAACCTTCTATTAACCGTGGAGTAGCCAGGGGCGGATCCAGACTGTAGCAACTGTAGCAAATGCTATAGTCAGATTTTCGTGCAAAAATATTTTTAATACTGAATGTGGTGATAGTAAAAATTCCTTATAGAAGTTTTCCTGTTTCTCTATCTCAAAAAAAACAAACTTCCACAGCTTCGACCAGACGTCCGTACGTTTTTTGTGAGCTACGAATATTTTAAAAGTTACGTTTTTACGCGCTTATCTTAACCTGATTTTTACCCGAAACAACGCCCGCTTTTAGGGGAAATCACCTAAATTTTTTAAACATCGTTCAAAAAGCGTTCAGAAAAGTGGTCTAAATATGGCGATTTATGACGTCAAAATGCTACAGTCAACTGGGGGTCTTACGTCAAAATGCTACAGTCAGCGGGGGGACGAGTTACTAAATTTAGCATTTTCAGTGCTACAGTCAGATGAAGCAAACCAATCACAGTGCTGCAATGCGCTACAGTCAGCTACAGTTATGCAATTCGATAGGAACTTTAGAGCGATGTTATTTGGCTATATTTGTTTGCGCTTTTACCGATCCAATTTCTTTCGAAGAAAAACTAAGTAGAC